AATAAAGGTTTAATAAAAAAAAAAATAATAAAAAAAAGGGATTGCTGGCGTCATTTCCAGGAAACTGTGAAAGAGGCTAAAAGGAAAGATTTCTCAGATATTATTTTGGCAAATAAGCCTCATGTCTTGTTTAACACCATTAATTCAATTTTAAATGCCCCGCAGAATGCTTGTATGGAGGCATCCACTGCTATGTGGGAAAGTTTTCTATGCTTTTTTACTGATAAGGTCACTTCTATTAGGTCCCAAATTGCACCTGCAGCTTCTGACCCTTCAATCTCTGTCCCCTGCTCGGCTGTTTTTGATCATTTTGAGCCGGTGACTTTCTCTTTCTTAGAGGAGGTTGTTGGTCATTTGAAGCCCACGGGTTCTCCTAATGATGCTGTCCCCCCTCGACTATTTAAGGAGGTTTTCCCTACTGTAGGACCATCTGTGGTTGCAGTTATAAATACTAGTCTGACCTCGGGTGTGGTCCCTGAAATCTTAAAACATGCAGTAGTTCAACCTCTTATTAAAAAGCCTTCGCTAGATCCGTCGGTTTTTACTAATTTCAGGCCTATTTCCAAATTACTCTTCCTTTCGAAAATCCTGGAGAAGATTTTGCATATTGCACAGTGCACATTGTGCTTATCCAGTCCGGTTTTAAAACCTTGCACAGCACCGAAACCGCTCTTTTAAGAGTTTTTAATGATATCTTTTTAGCGACTGACTCTGGCGACTGTGTTATCCTTGTGATTTTAGATTTAACTGCTGCATGTGACACTGTGGATAAGCTGTGGACACTGCGGCAGTTGGTGGGCATCAGTGGCATAGCACTGGAATGGTTTAGGTCATACTTATGCCTAGTTTACACTACATGATTTTAAAATGTCGGGCTGAACTGTGCAGTTCACACTAAATGACTTGCTCTCAGTGAAATCATGAGTGTTCAAGTTGTTTTAGGGTGATTCTTCAATTGGGGGCTATTTTGCCATCTTAGATTTTGATTAATGAAATTTGGTTAAATTTTGTTAGAATTATGTCAAGACAATGTTTACATGTTTTGATGTAAAGATATAATAATGGCCGCAACTGAGCTTAAATATTATTTGAGTATTTTATATCTATTTGTCAACTGGCACTTCAAAATGTCATTCCCATCACAACATCAAAAAGTCTTATAATGCACAGAATGTATCAAGGAGATCATTTAAACTCATTTATCTTGCAAATAGTTTTAACCTTTAACAATGCGTATAAAAAACAAAATGTTTCCACTCAGCGAATTACGGATATTTTCTTGTTCTTACCATAAAAACGTATTTTTCTGTGTTTGTCAAAGCACACTTTTGTTTAATTTCTGGAAAATTAATTTTAGATGTTTTTTCTTTGAATAGGTGAATGAGTATTTTATTAGGCTTTTCATGTAGCACCTCAGGATTGAACATAAAACATTTTTAAAGGTACATTTGCTGTAAATTAAGCAACGTGGCGGTAATGACATACTGTTCTGGTAATGACATAGTGTTTTGGTAATGACATAAATGAAAAGTGCACTGATATGTAAAGCAAATTTAAAGGCTTAAAATAATGACTTTTGGTGAGTGTTGTTAAAAGAAATCGCCCTGGTTGCGTATGCAACCCACCGTTCCCTGAAGGAGGGAACGGAGGACGTTGTCGACTGTTGACTGAATGGGGATCGCGCCAGAAGCCTATGTTCTTCGAGTACTATTGAACGAGCCAATGTAATTGGCGTGCGTGATTTGCATCACACACTCCCGTCACTGTAGGGACCGCAACGTATGGACCCAGCCTAACACAGGTTCCACACTGCTTATGAGTGGTAGGCCTAACACCGTCGAGCTGGTACTGTGTAGTGGAAAAATGCCTTAAAGTGTGAGATTACTTTAAGCTTTCCTGTTTCTTTTCTTCTTTTGTATCTTTCTTTTTCTCTGTAAACATACTGCTGATATTTTACAGGATCTCCCTTCAATTTTTTTCTATAATCTCTAGACCTTTCTGTTGATTTCTTGGAAGCCATTCTGGTTAAAAAAATAAGAAAAAATTGTTTTATGAAGTAAGAACTATCACTTAAGTTTCACTGTAAAACCACAGTATTATGCTTCTTTAACTTAATTAATAAACACACAATATGATATAGATAGTGACACGGAACATGTCATTACCACCATCACTTGTCATTACCATCACAACAAGTTGTGTGTTGGTAATGACGTGTTGCGGTAATGATATTTTTAATTTTTTTCAGGAAAAAAAGATGCTAGGTCATGGTTTTTGCTAACATTACTCAACAGCTAGTACAAAAACTTTAAATACACATAAATCACGTGAATGTATATATAAATGTATCAAAATATTGCTGCTACAACATTTATGGTAATGACGCTGAATAAGTCTACTCCATGATCAGAAAGAATTCAAGATTAAATAACTTACTTTTTCAGACATCAAATTTCACTGTTCTTTCATGGCTGACATGTGCTCCACTTCTAGTCTTCATTTCCATGGTTACGGCATAAACAAGTCTCACCCTCAGAAATATCCTTGTTGTAATTATAGACTGTTGCGGTAATGACAGTATTGTTTGTGGACAATACTAAATTGTTAAAAATATTTCACAAATTGCACAGATAATAACCCGAATTATGCATCAAGTGCCTTTTTAAAGTTACTGTTTAAACATATATTGTAATTGTTTAATGAACTGATTACATTTTATCACATTTTCAGAGCAGACAAGTTTTGAAGTCTGGGTTGGGGACAAGGCCTGAATAGCCAAATATTAGTGATGAAAATAATTTTAAAAATGGAAATCATACTGATTTTAGTGTATAACATTTTTTCGTGGTACAATAAATATAATTTTAAATAACTAAACTGTTTATTTTATAATATTGTATTTTTAACATGAATGTATAACCTGGGGACATAAAAGTTCCCCTAATTGAAGAATCACCCTTTAGCTGTTCACACCACACAACACAACGTGATTGATCCACAACAGGACGTAACTCACTACACGAGTTAACAACGCACTAAACAGAGATACAACCACGATCGGATGATAAGAGCATATCATTTGTGACTCAATGAGAGCTGTTTCAGTACTATAGTACGGTCTAAATCCTGAAAATAATCAAACAAATAACGAGTTGACAACAACACGATTCTATCTGGTCTAGAAACCATGTTTTGTCACGAAAAACACGCAATAAAACGAACCAGAAATGACGCAAACTGCAGAGAGGAACACAACACGCGAATATGGACGTCAGACAGAAACTAGTGCTGCACACTGTTTGCTCGACGATCTGCTCTGAGAAAAAAAATGCAAAAAATAAAAAGTAAGATTTACCTGGTGTCCTCAACCCATGCGTTGCTATGATTGGCTGTACTCATGACATCACTGAGATTGAGTCGCGCGACTGCTCGAGATATCTAGCATGCTATTATTTTTCGGAGCTCGGTGGACCTGTCTGCGAGGTGTCTTTGATGCGTGTTGGCTCTTTCACACTATCGGATTGCGAGCGTTAATCGTCCGCTAATCGCCCGCGCTTGCACGCCTTAACACCCTCCTCTGACTTGTCGGCGACTCAACGATTTGCAAATCGGGCTTAAATCGGGCTTAATACGTAGTGTATAGGCTTTATAGCGGATCAAATCAAACTTTAGTGTTAGTGTAGGTGAATATGTTTCCTTCTCTGCTCCTCTCTCTTGTGGTCCCACACCCACAGGCACTGTCCTTGGTCCTCTACTTTTCTCTTTGTATTTGCTTCCACTTGGTTCCATACTTAGGAAGTATGGCATTTCATTCCACTGTTATGCAGATGACTGTCAGATTTATGTACCTCTTGATAAGAGAAATTATATCTCTGTTGGACATCTACTCAATTGTGTCAAAGACATAAAAGCCTGGATGGCCCTGAACTTTTTAAATTTTAATGATGAAAAAACAGAGGTGATGGTTTTTGGAGGCACCACTGGGACCCCACCGATAGATCTGGGCTCTTTGGCTCCCTACATTAAACCTTGCATTTCAAACCTTGGTGTTAAAGTGGACCGTGAGCTTAAGTTTGACTGTCAAGTTAAAGCTGTTGTCAAATCAAGCTTCTTTCATTTGAGGAAACTGGCCAAAATAAAGCCATTTTTGTCAAGACAACATTTTGAAACTGCAATCCACGCCTTTGTAACTACACGGCTGGACTACTGTAATTCACTATATGTGGGGGTTAATGGGTCCTCCATCACCCGTCTCCAGATGATACAGAACGCAGCAGCACGTCTTTTAACGGGCACACGTAAACGGGAGCACATTTCCCCGATTTTAGCTTCACTACAATGGCTGCCTATTCAATTTAGGATCCATTTTAAAATTCTGTTATTTGCTTTTAAATCATTAAATGGCTTTGCCCGTCCAAAAAAAAAACCCGTCCGCGCTCTCAGGTCAGATGATCAGCTGCTCCTGACTGTGCCTAAAACTAAGCGTAAGCTCAGAGGGGACCGTGCCTTTGCCGTGTCTGCCCCGAAACTATGGAATGAGCTGCCTTTGCATGTTAAACAGGCCTCTTCTTTATGTCGAATCCATGATTTTTTTGTTTTTTTGTTACTAAGGATGAATGTGGGGTTTTTAATTGTATGTTTATGTTTTCTGTACAGCACTTTGGTCAACTTAGGTTGTTGTAAAGTGCTAAACAAATAAAGTTGGTATGGTAAGGAAATTTTGTATTGTATGTGTAATAAATTCAGACACAGATTATGTAAAAAAAATAAATTTATTAGAAATTACTGCAAAATATTAACCCAAATGAGTTGAGTATGAGTGAAATAATTAGCAAATTTAAAAAATGGTCGATAGACTGATAGAGAAGTTAACAAAACTGACTTTGTTCTGACTTAATTCATTCTTCATTTTCAAAATGGCAATTTTACATAAAGGCAAAATAGTTAAAATAATTTATTTTTACATTATGACCGTCTGCGATCTCCAAGGGGGTTTATAACATGGAATAGCACGTCTTCTAATGGTAATTTCCCATTGAGGTAAGTTGTACCATATGCAAGTTGAAACATTTTGTTTAGGGTTGTATGTCTTCCATTTCAATTTGTTATTCATCAAATTTCATGTCAATCAATATTTTATATATATAGTTTCATCTGCCACTATCAGGTCACCCAGCTTTATCTCCTCCCCAAAGTCAAATTTGGCGTTTGGACCTTGTCTGTAGGTGAATCACATACAGATACTTTGAGCTTCAAATATTAAATGGAGGGCCTTATAGTGTAACTCTACTTTGAGAAGTCACTTACCTGGCATTACTTACCTGGTGATACTGGTAAACAACATGACATCATGACTTTTGCGTAAACATACACGCCACTTTCAAGTCAAGTGGCGCGGTATCTATACGCATTTTAAGCTATCTGCGTGTATGTCTACGTCATTAAATGTCTGAGTGATCTTGCATCTATGTACACGCTGTTAAATGTCCGATCGAAACGAAGCAAAATGTAGATCTACATCTAGGGAGCGATATTTTTTTCCTAGGATGGTAGGGGGAAGACTCATAAATGGTATTAAGCCCAGTGGGTTTAGTGATGGGGTTGGGCTTGGTCATATATTTATACAGTAATGTAACGTTAAGTCAAAGGGTTCATAAACATGCTGAAAAGCAATTATGCGTGTTGATAGCCCGCCAAAAATGGAAATACGAATTGGCGTGTCATACATACGCCATTTCATTAGATCAGTCTGGGTAAAATGAGAGGCTTAATGTCTAGAACTGAAGCATAATAGGGAAATGTTTCCCTGATAAAACAAGACATTTTCAGAAACATTTTGTTTTTAATGTGGCACACAGGTGTATATAGGAATCAGGAACCTCCTTCCAGTAGTCCTGAAGTCCCCCCCACTGCCGAAAACCAGCAAGTGGAGCTGGAACTTCTTTGCCAACTGTGGCATGAACCTCTGCACCATAAGGAGGAAACTTTGTAGTCATGTCAGTAACCTCTGGGAAGCTTAACAACCTGAGCTTCTTTGACACGGAGCTCTAGAACTGTAGCAGGGACAGGAGTTGCAGCAGAATGAACCTTCACAGTGATTCTGTGGAGCCTCAGCAGGTTTTGGAGCAGCAGAGACAGGAAGCTTTATGGCTGTCTTCACTGAGAATTCTGGAGCATCTCTGACAGGATCTCTGGGCCCAAGGCAGCTGAGAAATGCGGGGTGGTAATAGCGCAGTGGATAAGACACATGCCTTTGGTGTGAGAGACCCGGGTTCGAATCCACTGTGAGACACCAATGTGTCCGCAAGACGCCAAAACTAAGCCAAGGCACCAGACACAACCGAGGCCTGACAGCCCCGCAAGACGCTTGGGCTGGAGAGATCGAGGGGCTAACTTAAGTAATAAAACTAAACTAACTATTTACAATATACATCCCTAGGCAAGTAGTTCCGCAAGACGCAAAAACTACCACCTCAAGCCAAGGCGCCAGACGCAACCGAGGCCTGCCAGCCCCGCAAGACGCTGAAGCTGGCGAGATGGAGGGGCTAACTTAACTAAGTAAAACTAAACGAACTATTTACAATATACACACATCCCTAGGCAAGTAGTTCCGCAAGACGCAAAAACTACCACCTCAAGCCAAGGCGCCAGACGCAACCGAGGCCTGCCAGCCCAGCAAGACGCTGAAGCTGGCGAGATGGAGGGGCTAACTTAACTAAGTAAAACTAAACGAACTATTTACAATATACACACATCCTTAGGCAAGTAGTTCCGCAAGACGCAAAAACTACCACCTCAAGCCAAGGCGCCAGACGCAACCGAGGCCTGCCAGCCCCGCAAGACGCTGAAGCTGGAGAGATGGAGGGGCTAACTTAACTAAGTAAAACTAAACGAACTATTTACAATATACACACATCCCTAGGCAAGTAGTTCCGCAAGACGCAAAAACTACCACCTCAAGCCAAGGCGCCAGACGCAACCGAGGCCTGCCAGCCCAGCAAGACGCTGAGGCTGGAGAGATGGAGGCAGAACCGCAAGACGCTAAAACCACCTCAAGCCAAGGCGCCAGGCGCAACCAAGGCCTGCCAGCCCCGCAAGACGCTGAGGCTGGAGAGATCCATCTCTCCGTCTCTCCTCGATGACCTGAAACACAATTAGAAAACATTTTTCATAAGGTATAAAAATACATCTGTTCCATGTATAAGGATTGAGTATATGGTAGTTACAGCAGGTACTAAATGGTAATGTAAAGAAGCTGATAAACAGCCCCAAAATGGGCCAATATAAATATATCTTCAAAATCATTTTAGCTTGTTTTAGACTCTGTACCTTGAACCAGTCATGGAAGAGCATCTCATCCAAATGGAGTCTCCGCTTTGGGTCGCTCTTCAGGCAACCTTGAATAAAGCGACAGCATTCTGTGCAGAAAGATTGAGAGTTGTCTAATTATTTCCTTCAACTTTACACTTGCTCTCTGAGCTGTAAAAATGGGAAAGATTCTTGCATTATCCAAAAGAACATCTTTTTTGTACTAACCATTTGAGAAGCCCGACTGGAACCAGACATCATGGTCCATCAAAACTAAATCTCTGCTGTCTGGGAAACGGCAGCTGATCATGGCAAACAGCAGGACCCCCAGCGACCACACCGTTGCCTGCTTCCCAAAGTACTCGCCCTTCTTGAAGAACTCTGGGGGGCAATAAACTGCTGTGCCTGGAGATAAGAGTTTGTCACATGTGTAAGCTAGCTTTTTTTTTTTTTTTTAGTCAACAAAAATAATATTAATATCGACCATTCCTTGAGAGTTTTGTAAGTGTATTGTTAATATCTCACTGTGTGATGTCTGATTAAGACATAGCATAACTGGTCACTAGAGTTTAAATCCTAAAATATATGTTTTAAAGATAACACATACCAGCATAGTTTTCGTAGGATGAGCTTTTCATGATGTCTCCGCAGCCAAAATCAATCAATTTAACCACCAGGGTCTTTGTGTTGACTAGGAGGTTCTGCATTTTGATGTCTCGATGCAGAACACCCCTAGAGCAGCACAGGGCAGCAGCCACAATCACCTGCCGCATGAAACGACGAGCCAGTTTCTCACTGAAGCGGCCTCTGGAACGCAGCCAAAAGCTGTGCATGTCCATGCAGGGAGAGGGCCTTTCTAAGACCATTATGTACTGGTCGAGATGGTCCTGCCAGTCCAGCAACTTTATAATGTGCCGACAGCGTGGGCCTTGATTGGCCATTACTGTCAGGGCCACCTCAAGTGGAACTGGTCTGGGATGGTCAGGCTAGAAGAATGACAGTTTTTATTATTATTTGATATAGGAATGGTTTCTCTGTCTATCTATTTTTACTCTGTGATTTACATTAAAATGTTATAAATTGCAAACATAGAGAGCACAGTCTACCTACGTACAAGGCTGATGTATGGCTCTTTCCCTGTCTTCGCTGTGAATTTCACAGCAACCATGAGGCCGTCCTTGCAACGGGTCCCTTCAAAGACAGAGCCAAATGATCCTTCCCCCAATTTCTTGCCAATGGCATATTTCCAGCAAATGTGATCTATTAAAACAGAATTATTTTTATTTGTTTACTGTTTAATAAAGACATTTTTGATTAAATGTTCATCTGGAAATATATTTGTAATACCGGTATTTGTACTTTTAAAAATTCATTTGTCACATTACTATTTAAGTGAAATACAAAAAAAACCTTACAGTGGAAATGGCATCATTATTTAAAGCATATGATTTCCTTTATACATATTAGCCTAACTTTCAGAAAGAGTATGTGTGTGTGTGTCATATTTTATGTCAGAGCGTAAACTGGCAGTAAACTCACCCTCTGCCCTCACGATCTTGTCACAGTCCAGCTGTCTCAGCAGATGTGATCCAGTGTCACCTGATGATGAACTGGCTGGACTTGGATCTTGAGGCTTGACGTCCACCACTTGCTGGTTTTTGGCAGTGGAGGGGACTTCAGGACTACTGGAAGAAGGTGCCTGATGATCATTATCCTCTACAGAACAGATGATGTCCTGTAAAGAAGTCTGATCTAAAGAGAGGAATATCAACCATAATGTTACCTTCGCAGCTCTCACGCTCCGAACCGTAGTTAAGAGCGAGCTGGCATCCTTATAACTAGGCTCGTAGCAGGTAACTTGCTAGTGGTCCGGCTAACAGAGCTGAAGCACACACTGTAGTCATCGGCTTTCTTTCAACAGGTTCGGGCTTTATTGTTCACAGCGGTACACATTCACGGCATGAATAAGGCACTTTGCTTACTAGCATTCGCACGGACGGGGCTGCATTACCACCACCGTTAGTTCATTTCATCCACTCCGACAGATTTCCCGCTACACTTTGTTTACACTACGGAAAACCCACTACGGAAACACAAGAGGCCCAACACGTCCTACATACGCGTTTTCTTTTTATCAATAGCAAGAGATTGCAACACTACCCCCACTCTGGAGAATGATTAAACCTTTAACATATCTCCAGCATCAGACTACACACGGGGAAATATTAATTAGACAGTCATCATACAAACATCCCCAACATTAGCGTTAAGTTACTCAGGTTGCAGAATTTTTTTTTTTTTTTAAGTGCAAAATTAGAGCAAATTATCCGGTTAAACAACGTTCTCAGCAGTAAACATACAGTACCTTAAGATGTTATAACAAAACTATGTAGCCCGTTAGTATCTAAATTACCGACTGTTGATAGTAAACAATTACAAGCCCATAACAAAGTCACATGTTAACTTCAACATAATCAAGTTACTTAGGTAACAATACAATACTAGAACTCCTTTTAGTTTTGACAATACTGGAACTCTTTTAGTTTTGACAATACTGGAACTCTTTTAGTTTTGACAATACTGGAACTCTTTTAGTTTCCTTTTGTTTAGAGGAGGGCAGCGATCCGCCTACACCCAGCCTCTAACAGATATGCTCAGTGAACAACCCAATCACCAAACATGTCAGGAGCTCTGCGGACCCTCCGGGGTCGATGCAGAGGGGTGGAGTTCAAAAGAGGACGAAGAACATGTCCCCTTCTCTCACTCAGTGAAGGCTCAGCCGTGTGGCAAGGCAGCTGGCTGCTGCTCGGTGAAACTGCCAATGATGGCGGTAAAGAGAAAAGACTTGAAAGGGACCCCACCACAGGGTCCTCGGTTTCTGGTGATGTGCCCCAAAGGTCAAGAGGGCCGATATCAACTTCCGAAGAGCTCATGTCTGACAACGGGGGTGGCGCCTCCACTGGTGCCCACATTTCAGCCTCTTGGAAGACCCAGTTGTTGTCGAGTGTTGTCCTGGAGTGGTAAGGTTTGAGTTTGTCATGATGAACGACTTTCATCTTCATTTTTGGGCCCCTTTTAATTCGATAGATCAAATCGTCCAGTACACCCACCACGAAGTACGGACCCTCATAGGAAGGGAGGAACTTCCGCACTTTATTCTTTACTCTTTTTGTGCCTTTGACTAAGAACCATACTGGCTCACCGACTTTGTATTGGACTTGGCAGATATTTTTGTCGTACTGTCGTTTGGCATGCTCGACAGAATTTCCCAGCGCCTCCCGAGCCAACTGATGAGATAGCTCGAGCCGTTCCCTTAGCTGTACAACATAGGCTGCCGGGGTAGCAGTGTTGTCTGGGTCAGGTGGCAGCCCAGCAACAAGATCCACCGGCTCTGTAATTTCCCGTCCGAACAACATCATATTAGGCGTCAGGCCTGTGGAACTGTGTTTGGTTGCACGGTAAGCCATGACTGCATATGGGGTCATAATGTCCCAGTCCCAATGACATCGTTCCGCAGTGGTGGCTAAGATTTTCTGCAGAGTGGCATTGAAACGCTCCACTTGGCCATCTGACTGTGGCCGGAACGGCGTGGTTCGTGTCTTATCGATTCCCAGCAGCTCGCACATCCCTTGGAACACAGCTGACTCGAAATTTGTACCTTGGTCGCTGTGCAGGCACTGTGGAGCTCCGTACCTACACACCCACTCGGAAACAATCTTTTCAGCCACTGTCGTTGCTTGTTCGTTGGGAACAGGATAGGCTTCCACCCATTTGGTAAAATAGTCCTGTACCACTATTATGTAGCGGTTGCACCTTTCAGTTTCATTTAATGGTCCCATTAAATCGACTGCGATCCGTTCAAAGGGGGCACCAACTCGTACTGTGCCCATGGCGGCTTGAGGTGTTTTCTTGGGCCGGGCTTTCACAGCGCAACGGGTGCAAGTGCGACACCACAGAGTGACATCATCCCTCATATTGTACCAGTAGTACCGGGCCTTGAGGCGTGCAAGGGTTCTTTCTCCTCCAAAATGGCCACCGACTGGACCATCGTGCAATTGTTCCATCACTGAGGTGCGGTACTCTCGAGGCAGCAAGATCTGTGGATAGAACACCCTTCCAGTCGTGCAATAGAATTTTCGTAGCATAACTCCATCTTTCTGGTAGAGCCTTTTCCACTGTGACCAGTAGGCTTTGGTGCCAGGGCTGTAGAGTGCTATGTCACCCCAGGGTGGCCTGCCTTTCCCCTCGTCCATCCACTTCCTCACTGGTGCTATATCTGGATCAGCTTCTTGGGCACTAATTAACTGCTCTCGGGTCCAACCACCGAACAGGTCGACTTGGGCTGGCTCACTCACCCTGTAGACACCTGGACGGAACACAAAGCCAGCTTGATTGTCAATGAAGGCGTCCACTACCCCCACTGTTAGATGCTTAGGCTCGGCTGCGGGGCTGCCTCCGTAGCTAGCTTCGGGCACCACTACCCCCACTGGAGGTTGCTCTGCAGGAGTTTCCCCAGCATCCTCTGAAACTGGACTCTCCGCCATGTTGCACTGAATCCCGTAGGCTGCTATGGTCAGTCCGTATGATGAACGATCTCCCTAGCAGATACTGCCGGAAACGAGAGGTGAACTCGACAGCTGCCAGAAGTTCTCGTCTGGTGGTACAGTAGTTTTGCTCAGTGGCTGATAATCTCCTACTCCCATAGGCGAGTACTCTCTCCTCACCTTCTTGCACTTGGGAAAGGACTGCTCCAATTCCCCAATCACTGGCATCCGTGTCGAGGAGCAACTGACCGCTGTCGAGGGGATAACCCAGCACGGGTGCTGACGTCAGCCGACTCTTCAGTTGTTCAAACGCCTCCTGGCACTTGTCCGTCCAGTTAAAGCGTGCATACTTTTTGGTCAGCTCGTGAAGGGGCTTGGCAACGGAGGCGAAATCTTTGACAAAGCGTCGATAGTACGAAGCCAGGCCGACAAACTGACGCACTTCAGCTACATTTTGCGGTGTGGGCCACCCAGCCACCTTTTGGATCTTTTGGGGGTCGGTGGCAACACCTTTGGCGGAGACGATGTGTCCCAAGTAAGCCACTTGCTCTCGGAACAGGACACACTTTGAAGGTTTAAGCTTCAGGTTGGCTGCGCGTAGTCGGTCAAACACTTGACTAAGCCGCTCCAACATTTCAGTTCCGTCCCGCCCCAGAACAATGATGTCATCGAGGTAGACCAAGCAGGTCTCCCACTGCAGCCCGGCCAGGACACGGTCCATGAGCCTCTGGAATGTGGCCGGCGCATTGCACAATCCAAACGGCATCACATTCCATTCGAACAGGCCCTTACGGGTGCAGAATGCAGCGGCTTTTCGTGCTCTCGGTGTCAACTCCACCTGCCAGTACCCTGATGTTAGATCAAGCGTGCTAAAGTACCTGGCTGTGGACAGTGTGTCCAAGGTGTCCTGGATGCGGGGCAGTGGATAAGCATCCTTGATGGTTCTCTCATTTAGGGGCCTGTAATCAACACATAATCGCAACGTCTGATCCTTCTTTCTCACCATGACTATTGGTGCAGCCCAGCTGCTGTTGCTGGGTCGAGCCACACCAGTGTCCAGGTTCTGCTGCACCTGCTGGTCTGCTGCAGCCTGCTTATCTCTAGCCATCCGGCGAGGTTGCTGTTTCACGGGCGGGCCCACGGTGGTGAGGATATCATGCTGCACGAGGCCAGTACGTCCAAGGTCAGTGGGCCCCGTAGAGAAAACGTCACTGTAAGACAGTAGCAGGCTGGCCAGCTTCACCTGGTCACTCATGGGCAGACTAGAACAGCTCTCGTCATAAAGGGCCTGCAGGTGGCTGGGTAAAGAAGCACAAACAGAGTTAATAGGTTCAGGGGCTAATAAGGCCGAAGGTGGCTGGGACTCCACCTTCCCCACCACTGCGGCTGGCTGTAGAATCCCTGCCACAGCTCCCCTCTTCAAAGTAACAGGTAAGGCACCAAGGTTGAAAACTCTGATGGGAACATTGGTGGACCGCTGCGCCTGTACAATGATGCGAGCCACCAGGACGTGGTGCTTTTCTATGAAACCCTTGGTTGGGCTCAGCATCAGGTCTCCCTCAGTAGTATGGCGCAGGTGGGCGGTGCCAGGCACTACATACTCACACCCCGACTCCAACACTGTTGTGCGGGCAATTCTGACAATGTGTACCCGGGGCTGATGGTTTTGGTTAAACCGAGGTACCTTTTCTCCAGAGAGGGTTATCTCACGGCGACCATAGTCCAGCTGGGCACTTGTCTGGTGAAGGAAAGGGTGCCCCAGGATGACCTCGGTGTTCTCTGCTGTGTCAGCTATAATAAAGTTCACATCGATAGCCCCTCTCCCAACTTGTACTGGTAAGTTAACCTCCCCCATGACTGCCAGACCACTGGGCCCGATGCCCTGCAGGACCTGCGCAACAGATGGCTCTATTGGGGGTCTGGATTCTGCAGGAAGAGAGTTAAAAAGGTGGAGGGGCAACACATTCCTCCGCGCACCAGAATCAAGCAGAGCACACATTTCCAGTCCATTTATAACTATTGCAACACACATGTCATCTCCCTGACTCGCAGTGCAGGTGACCACTTTACCTGTGTCAGGTGCCGTGTTCTTGATGACTGGCCGGCCCTGCTGTCGGGGTCGGCGGGGGGAAGGGCAGTTTCTCTGGAAATGCCCCAGACCAGAGCAGTTGTGACATTGAACATCCCCCGTTGACATTTTGACATTTGTGTCTCTCTTCTGGCGCCACTGCTGATTAAATCCTGGAGGCCTTTCTGGCGAGTTGATAGACCAAACCTCAACCCCCACTGGCTCCACACAAACCGGCCTGCTGTTACAGTCACGTACCACAGTGGCTCTGGCTCTCTGATTTGCAAGACCACGTTGGCCCGGCTGCATGAACTGTGTGACTGTTCTGGCGGCCCTCTTGGTTGTCTCGTAGCTGTGTGCAATGTCATATGTTCTGGCTAGGGTGCGCGGCTGCGCTTCCAGTAGTTTCTGCACCACCTCAGCGTCGGCCAGGGCGTTGGTAAAAACCTCCACACTAATAGCGTCCTGCTCCAGCTCGGTACGATCAGCATACACAATGGACACTTTCTCGTAGATGTCATCCCTTAATAAGTGCAAGGCTTCATTTTGCCCCCTAACCCTCTGCCTCAGTTCAATGCCGATGGCTGCAGCATGGTTGGACCGCGGCCCGTAGGCGGTCTCTATCTCAGCCACAATACGGCGGTAGCTCCAACGGTCAGACCTGGGGTTCTTATGGACGATAGCTCCAGCCGCGCCAGTCAGGCTGAACCTCAGTTGAACTGCCATTGTCGTTTCCGACCAACGGTTTGCCCTTGCACAGCTTTCGAACCGGTACATAAAGTCTTTCCAGGAACCCGTCCCATCGAAATGGCCTGGCTTTAATATTGGGATCCTCTCTTGATATCCATAATGTTCATCATCACTAAAGTCCACTATTTCGGCATCCAGTGCTGTGCGTGATGATTGTGGGGCTGGCTTGGCCCTTTCCACAGCTGACTGGCCGTATTGGTATCGATCACGGTGTGAAGCACAGTTATCATCATAGCTCATAGCACCACAACGTTCCGCGGGCCGGGGCGTGCAGAGTGGAAAAGGCGTTGAAGTGAAATGGGAGGGCAATGCATGCGGCTGGGAGAAGGTATTATGAACCGTACTGTTTATGGAAGTAAACGGATTAACGTTAGCTGGCTGATTAATGGCGCGTTGGGCAACCGCTGGGGCGGGGCTATTCTCAAAACCATGCGGTAAAACCGCCGCGGGGCTGGTCCTCGTATGCACTGAACAGTCACATTTTTGTCGATTAAAGTACTTGGACTCACTATCTGTTGTATGCTGTGGTTCCCCATGCTTTAGGAACGGATTAGTCAACCGTGATGGCGGTGGTGTGGGGGGTAAAGCTAGGTTGAAAGACGGCATCCGGCCGTGAACGATAGCTCCGTCCGCGGCTAAAGTCAGCTCCATGCCCGCCGTAAAAGGGTTAGTGCTGTCGGCATATCGGCCGTCCCCGAGATTATCTTGGTCTATATTAGTGTCTATTATATCCATTAGAAATGGGTTGGTGCTTACGTTAGGGGTTTCCATCTCGACAGGCCTCTTCGTCCACGAGCTAGCTTTAGCTCTAGCCCCGAGCGCCGTCATTCTGCGTCCGACGAAAACACGAAGCTCTTCTCTCTTTTTTTTTCTGTTATATCCCGGACGAAGCCCCCAGTGTTACCTTCGCAGCTCTCACGCTCCGAACCGTAGTTAAGAGCGAGCTGGCATCCTTATAACTAGGCTCGTAGCAGGTAACTTGCTAGTGGTCCGGCTAACAGAGCTGAAGCACACACTGTAGTCATCGGCTTTCTTTCAACAGGTTCGGGCTTTATTGTTCACAGCGGTACACATTCACGGCATGAATAAGGCACTTTGCTTACTAGCATTCGCACGGACGGGGCTGCATTACCACCACCGTTAGTTCATTTCATCCACTCCGACAGATTTCCCGCTACACTTTGTTTACACTACGGAAAACCACTACGGAAACACAAGAGGCCCAACACGTACTACATACGCGTTTTCTTTTTATCAATAGCAAGAGATTGCAACAATAAGCTTGTTTTAAATCATATCATCCGTCACTTCTTGAAACTATATTATAGACGCTTTCAGCAGTGACAACAACTTGCGCAGACAATCCATAACCTACAAGTAAATAACCTTTGAGAGAGAGAGAGAGAGAGAGAGAGAATATGCGCTGCACGCAACTCTCCAGTAATTTACGACTTTTCCCGTCTTAAATTGTTAAAAACACGGAAATCATCAATATGTGGCGGTCAGCGCTTATAATGTGGTGGGCTGCCACTAATAAATGTATAGGAAACACTGTACCGGTTATCACTATCAGATAAACATAGCTAGGCTATTTTAATACCGCCGTCTCGATCCCTCATAGGAAACCTTGACATTTTTATTTTTAAAAAGTGCGTTTGCTCCCAAGGTCAGGTTGCACTCCACAGCTCAACAACCTGCTCATCACCTTAACTTTCACTGCATTTGTAGTCAATGCCATATAAACCAGTAGCTAAACACTAATAAACAAACAGAACGGAAGTTAACTTTGGGCCAGCTCATCACCATGGCAACGCGTCTGATGAAAGCGCCAAACATTCATCACATCGTGGAATAAATTAATGTATCTGCCTTTTCATAATGTGTAATGTGGGTTTTTTAATATTGTGTGTAAATAATTAAGAGAGTTTGTCATTTACCATCAGTACACCTCCTGGATGGGGCTTCATCAGTGTCCTGGTCCACCTCACACTGCTCCACCTGCTCATCCTGAGCTTTGGTGGACTTGGGGCGAGAGGAAAAAAAGAAAACAGAGGAAAACCTCCGAAATGCCCTCTTTTTCTGCCTGTTATTCTTTGGTTCCTCTGTCCCTCTCTGCTTTCTCTCCTGCCTGCCGTCACCGATGCCCACACCCACAGGCGTCTCGTCAGGCCGAGGATGCAGCTCCGCCTTGTGGTCGGTGGGTGTCAGTGTTGGGGGATTTATCCAACGCACACACTCACCTCCTCCTCCCTCAACTACTCCCACTCTCCGAAATTGTCGCTGTCCCATAATGAACTCGACAAAAAAAACGCTATCAACAACTGCAAAAACACTGATTGCTGTCTGTACTCCTTACTCGCTACAAAGTGAGAAAATGAGTTTACGCTTTCATAAGACGCGTTGCCATGGTGATGAGCTGGCCCAAAGTTACAGTTTTTCTCAATTGTTTACACACAAATTCTGGTACTTGAGACACAATGACCACAACATGCAACTCATTCACCAACCCCCTGAGCCAATTCTACTGAACTACAAGCACAATTCCTGCTTTACACTCAAATTGCAGTTCTAAAACACACTTTTTTCAAAACACTACACACAAATTCTCTGCATTTGGCACAATTTCCATGCAGAAAATCTCTTGTTTTTACGAGGAACACATTGCCATTCAAATATTCACACTGACTCGTCACATGGGCAAACACGTCACACAATTTTACAATTAGCAATCAGAGCTTTAGCATAAAATACCAAAACCGAAGAGAGGATGCAGCATACATATTCATTTTTTTTTTTTTTTTTTTTTTTACTGTAACAGCATACACATTTTTTTTTTCTGTTGTTTTTTATGTAGACCACTGTATTGTGTTGGTTGGGGTGTATGAAATGTGCGATCTATCTCCCATTGTTTTTGTGGGAAAAATAAAATATATTGTTACCGTGTATTTGTGTGTTCTGGGTATAAAAACAATATTCTCAAATATTTTACAACACACTTATGTATGTAATGTCTAAGTGTAACACTGAACAAAAAACGTCCTGAATACCTCAAGTCTCTGGATGTTGTGACACGCCTCTGCAGCATCGCTTGGCGGTCGGGGACAGTGCCTCTGGAGGGGTGTGGCCTGTGGAGGGTGCTCCGGTAATATGGGGTCCGGGGTCCTTTGCTAAGGGCTGTCCGGTCCCTGTATGACCGAAGCAGGGGCTTGGTTCACATTGCCGGTAGTAAGTCAGACTTCTTCCCGGTGCATGTTGGACTCCGGCAGGGCTGCCCTTTGTCGCCGGCAAATTGGCAGGAGCAGGAGAAGTTTCCTCCAGGAGACTAGACATAGACTACACACTCAAGCGCGGATGGCCTCGTCGAGAAGCATGGCCAATTAAATCTTTGCGTGTGAAAAAGACCTCCTTCGAGCCGGAGTCGAACCAGCGACATAAGGATTGCCAATTTGCGCCACCTACAGTCCTCCTCTCTGAGCTATCGAAGACACACCAGTTGTGGACAGAACCTAAACCTATCAGGTTTCCTGAGCTCCGCCTGCTGGCTAAAACTGCTAGAAGCACAGAGAAACGTCCTGTCTGTTTCCATGAGTGAAGCAAAGACAACACAAACTTCCCATACCGGGAGTCGAACCCGGGCCGCCTGGGTGAAAACCAGGAATCCTGACCGCTAGACCATATGGGAACTTCCTCGTGCCTTGAGCAGGCCCTTTGACTTTTAGTGTGTGACCACCCCCTTTAAGAATATGGGAATGATCCGAAGGGATTGTTTACTGAATTCGATTTCATCAGGCTCATCGGAGGGAGCTCTCATTTGCCTCGCCCAGGGTGTTCAGTTTCCTTCCAGTCCTGTGCTGGCATAATAGACCCTATAAACTGGTCGCAGAGCAAGGTCCTTGTGACAGTACCCATGCAATGCATCTGAAAAGACGCATGGTATTTCATGGTAACCATTATCCCACTGACAAAGCAGCCTATTGCTGGACTAATTCGATAATAACTAATTCAATAATAATAATAACAAAAATGATGGGCTAATGAAAGAAAATAATAAAATGGTCTGGCTACCGGACTACACACTCAAGCGTTGACAGCCTCGTCGAGAAGTATGGCCGGTTAAATGTTTGCCTGTGAAAAAGGTCTCCTTTGAGCCGGAGTCGAACCAGCAACCTAAGGATTGCCAATTTGCCACCTTCTTTTGAAGCAAAAGAGGGTGAGCGAGCCAGCCAGCCTGGAGTCGAACCTAGAATCTTTTGTGCCTCTAGTACTTTTAGCCAGCAGGCAGAGCTCACAAAACCTGATAGGTTTAGGTTCTGTCCTCAACCGGTGTGCCTTCGATGGCGGTACCTGACGGCCGATCGTCTGTAAAATCTATCCAATCCAATGACGAGCTCCATCTTTAATAAACCAATTACGTTACGAGCTCCATTTTTGGCCTTCCAATGAAATGGCAATGTCCATTTTTCATACACCAATCACCGAACGTAGTCAGTTATTGTCAATCTTTAAACACAAACACCGCTGGTATGTTATTTATAGTTATTGTATTTATTGTTAATGAAATGGCTTACGTTTTCTGTATTTTAGGAATAGTAAGATTGCCTCCATAAAACATCTTTGTTATGTTGGGTCCTTATGATGACTTAACGTAATTGTTACACTATAACATTACTAAATCTGTGTATCCAACGCATTCTCACCCCAAGGCGTCACCTTTGACCATGCTTCAATATTTGACGTTTTAGGCGCCCTTTAGCGTCACTTACATGATGCGATTCTACGGCGTCATCTAACTGACGCTAAAGGAAAGCGTTTGTTAGAGGACGCGGTTAGGTTTAGGTGTGGGGTGGGGGTAGGGTACACGCGATCCTAGGGCGTCATCTAACTGACGCTAAAGGGCGCCCAAAGCGTCAGATATTGAAGCATGTCCAAATGCTTCCCAAGGCGTCAGTTAGGTGACTACCAGTTAGGTAGATTTTATAGATTTATGTGAGAGAGATTTCATAACAGAAATATTTTATATTTTTGTCATATTTCAGCTCTCAACCACTGCTCCAATAATACAATATTTTTTTACCTTCTATTTTTAGACTCATTCAACCACTGCTACAATTGTAGCTGCCTGTGTGTGTGAGGCTCCAGTGCTAGCAGGTGGTCCTCCTCAAACCATCTCTCCACCACTGCCTCCAAGTGCAGAATTATTTTTTCTTGCTCCTCCATTACCGCCTCCAAAACAACTGCATCGGCCAGTTGAGGGGCAGAGTTTAGGAGTGAATGTGGTAAAACATTGCACTTGTTACCATGTTTGGTTAGTATTTTTTTATTTGTTTTTATTTGACCTGTCCTTTTCTGTGTCCACAGAGCGCATTCTGACCTGAGCACTCTGCTGCAGTTCCTCTCCAACCATGCCTCAAGAGGACCACCAATGGGTCTCAACAGAATTGTTTAGAGTTGGTGCTCGTGGGAATTTGGAGCTCCAGGACCATCTCCAGTTGTGGTATTTCCCTCCACAGCCATCCCTTATTTACCACCAGGCACCAGCCAGATTTTTTGCCCATCCCTTACTGCTGTGGCTGCCGTATAGGCTGTGGAAAGTCAGGCTGCTGTGCGTGGACCAAGCCTGTAAAAGCCCTCTGACTAGTGGAGGTCTTCACAGACGGGTGCGTCAGGTCCTTGACATTGACCGCTTTTACAACCTGGTCTCAGAGACTCTGATTTGCTCCAAGTGCCACCGCAGCTACCTGTCTTGCAATAGGGAAATACTTGAGCAGCTGGACATGGCCCATCGTTCTGAGTTTAGGGTCATTCTTACCCACCGGTATGTTGCATGCGTTATTGTGTGATTTTTGTTAATTGCTTATCCATGTATATTTAATTTATTTATTATTACAGGTATGCCTGTGACATCAGGGTGATACGCCTCCTACAGGAACATGGTCTGGGGAAATGCCCTGTCCAACTGATTGGCCAATTGAAAGAGAACCACAGAGAAGAGTGGCTGAAAAGGGTTGCGGGGTATACCAGCGAATGTGCTTCTTTTACCAGCAAAAGTTGCCTGATGCCACCAGCATTTGAAGAGCCTCACCAACCTGTGGCAATTCCCAGCTATAAGTGGTTTTCAGTGGTGTACAGCCAAGACATCCTGTTCAGGCTGGAGGATATCAAGGCTAGTATCACCTCCACTTATGGATCCATCTTAAAACTGGATTCCACCAGAAAGGTACATCTTTAATTATTATTGTATTGAGGTTAAGCAGATTCTGTTTATATTTATTTCTAAATAGAAATGGAACCTCAAATGAATGAACAACTTAAACAATAACATAAGATGGAATGTCAAATTGAGGGACAATTCAAAGATTAAAAAAGAATAACATTGCGGAGATAGCCACTCAATTTTATGACATCACACGCATAAGCTCTATATTCATGCAATAGAACCATTGAAGGTGTTGCTACTATTGGTTTAATATATATGTTTGTTTTAGATCACCAAAAAGCTTTCAGGACCGGCAAAAGGCACTGCACAGTGGCTGACATCTGTTGGTAATGAGATGGGTCAAGTGCTCATCAGTGTCTTGACTGCTGGTGAGGGACCAGGTTTGGATCTTATGGCAGCTGGCTTGGTAGACAGGTATGTTACATGTAATACACATTTCACTTACATGTAATGTAACTTGTCCTTAGTTTAGAATTTACTTTTACAATTTGCTTTTGTAATTTACTGTTGTTGCTGAAATTCTTTAATTACTTTTGATAATTATTTCTCACAGGTATGAAGCTGCAGGTGTAGACCCTCCTGTTGCTCTCTATGTGGACTGTGGCTGCTGGAAGGATATGGGAGACCAAGCTGAAGGCCAGATTTGGTGGATGGCCTAACTTGATTGTTCGCCTCGACATCTGGCACTTTATGCAATGCCTGGCTATGGGATGCACCACTGATGCACACCAGCTCTATCCCACTTTCATGGCTCGCATGTCAGCATGTATTTTGAGTGGGATGCTGCTGATGTCAACAAGTTGAGAGAGGCAAAAGAGCACAGCTGTTATGAACCCAGTATGGGTTATATTTGGGTGTTGTGTGTGTTCTTTCTGTTTGGTTTACAGGAGGGAATTGGAGTGAGTGACGTCATTGACTGAGGAGTTGCACCTGTGTTGGAGCTGATGCCGGCAATTAAAAGCTGTTCCTTTCAGCTGTGACGGCGCGTGCTCTTCCATCCTCATGCCGTTTGCGTCTTGAAGTCCTTATTGTTGTTTTCCGTCTCGTCTTTGTTTTATTTAATTATTCTTAC